CTCTGTAATTATGATGAGGCCAATACAAGAAGCGACCCTAAACGCGGCGTTTGTTGTTGTCTTCCCGCCCCCCTTAATTTTTTTTTGTATTTTTTTTTTATTCTTTTGAGTAATTAAGAAATCCTCTTTTCGGTTGAGTCTCCCTCCCTTTTCCATACTTCTTTCCTGGGTTTTATGTACCTATGTATGTATGTCCGGGGCAGTGGCAAAAGTTTCACAGAATTTCGTTCGTTTTGTCGCTTATGCGGCCTGTTTTTGATGACTTCACTTAAAGTCAAAATGGTCATACATACCGGTACATGTGGGTTATTATTATTATTATTTCTAGTATTTCGTTACCAAAAGTAGGCTTGTTTTACGTTATAAAAATAAATGAAGGTTCTGCTGGAACAGGGTAGGAGCCTAAGAAGAGATCGTGTGATAGGGTATATCCCATTGCAGGTGGGTTTGAAATGAACCAATAAAGGTTATAAAGGGTTCTGGAATTTTAGTACAGTATGAGAAATAAAATGAAAAATATTATTAGATAATCTACTTTATGGTTAATTGTAAATTTATTGCTTTTACCATTAAAACATTGGAATTACCTTCTTTTTTAATAGCAATTAAATCGATTTTAGGATAAAGCAATGAGAGTTCAAATTCTTAAAGGTTATGCTACTCAAAATATGATATATATCTTTAAACATTTATCTTTAAAACTTAAAAATGATCAACAATTTTTATAGTAATTTACTCTACACTTTAACCTCCTAAATATTTATAAAATAAAACCTTATAAAGGGTATCAAATATACACTATATAAACTTTGTTACCTAAACCCAACTTCTGTTCTTAATTTTTGTTTGTGCCGTGTTGATCCAAAATTAAGGCCCTTTTTTCGTGTTGCTGCTGCTGCTGCTGCTGGGCGGTCAATTGCTTTTGACCCGAACCTCAGTTTCCCCACTTTGCACATCCGTTAGGTTCTGGAAATGATTTTTCCTGTTTTTACACAATTTCGGTGAAAGTTCATTAGACTGTGTTAATTGCGATGGGAGAACTCCGACTCCATCTGCAGGATTGACTGATTCAGTCGCATGTGGTGAAAGTTTACCATAGTTTCCATTCGAAAAGCTTTCCCAAATGCAATGGCAATTTGCCAAATGTCTTCTTGGCCAATGATTGCAACAAAGCGAAGCAGTAACGAAATCAGAAAATTGCACAATTGGCCGAAAGCAATCATTCGTTTGCCCAACTGACTCATTTTCGTTGGAAAACTATATCATCTATGGCATAGACACCGACACCCCATGTGCTTAGACAAACAGAATTGGGAAAACAATATCATAAGCGGAAATTTTGCTTTTGTTCTCTTTCTCTCTCTCTCAAAAAAAAAAAAAAAGATACAAATACAAAAAACCGAGAACTTCCGCAGACGACAGCTCTAGTTTCTATTCGTATTTCCACAGCGGGAAACCCATAAAATTTTCTGCGTTTTTGCGCCGCGTCATTTCCTTATCGAAAGGTGAAAAGAAAAATGTCACCAGCAGCCGCGGCATAATTAATGATCCCTTCTTTTTCGGGGCTACCGTTTCATACCATTTCGATTGTATGTATATATACAAACTCGGATGTCATGCAGGCGCTGGGATCGGACTGGGATCCGATATGCAGCACCCCTATATAGTAATCGTGTTTTTGTACTAAATGCCAGCCGAGAACCGACGGCCATAAACATTATCGCATGTTCTACACTTAGATCATCGGTTTCTGCGGGGGTTAGACTCTGCCTGCCACTGGCAGGCATCGCTCTACCTATTTTATACTATATAGTCGATGGGGTACACAGGTACATCGCGACGACGACGACGTCGCATCGTCACGGTTCGATGACAACGTGAAAAATAAAATAAAATAAAAATAAAAACACAGGGAATTTCAAATAAAAACGAAACACATGAGCTCCGGAATAGCTTGAGTTTTGTGGCCGACTGTGTGGCCAAAATAATAGTTACGATTGTTCATTACGACTGTCTGTCTATATGGAATCTGTGTTTTCGAATTAACTATGTTTGTGGCTATTCAGTTTGAAATAGGCGGCAAAAGCTCATTAGCTGGGATAACTATATATTGTACATAATATTTGACTGCTATACAATATAATATTTGAAAGCCTGAATTCGTTTTTAAGTATTATTCAAATTTTGTACTACATTTTTAATGGAGCAGTTTGTAGAGTTCATTTTGATAGAAGTATATTTAGTAACAAACATTACTCATAAATTAGGAAAAATTGGAAAGAATAAATATAATATTTAAAAAGTGATTAGATTGCTTTTATTATTCTATAATATTAATAGACTTCCTGTTGTGTTATAAAAATTAAAAAATGTACATAATTGTGACTAATAAGATTATATTTCCTAGTAAAAGAAATTGTCTGTTTTAAAAGGAAGCTACAAAAATAGGAAAGAAACCCATCAACCATTTTAATACCAAATAAATACGATTTTCCAGGTAACCGATTGACTGCCCATTTAAATTTAAGATGCTCTTGGGCTATAGCTGGGTGGAATCACATCATTAGACGGATAAATGTGTTTCGCCAACTTCCTTTATTATATTTTGCCAGAGATCATTTGCTCGTGTTTAGGCCGCTGCTTAGCCAAATGGAAAGCTGCTGCATCCTCGCCTTTGCCGCAAAGGCAAGCAGCAGCTGCAGTTTGTTGCTGCAACTAATTGCATTTGGCTTGGATTCAGCTCCAGGTCCAGCTCCAACTTCAGCTGGATATATACATGTGGCTAAAGCTGCGGATCCAGCGTCTAACGGTGGCGAGCGCTTCCGTTAAGCAGCATGAAAAACGACAAATGAAGTTTTTCTTTATTTCTCTGCATGTTCTGTTATTTGCAACGAAATCAAAGCAAAGAACACCCCATTGCAGAACTAACAGTAGCGAAAATTTCCACTTGAAGGCACTCGGAAGGAAAATAAATAAAGTACCGAAAATATGTGATGATCGAGTATTAAGATAGCTTGGAAACAAACCTTTGCTGGGTTAGATATTTTAACTTTTTGAAAGGGTTTGAGTTTCCAACACACTCATTTGATATATTCCTACAATTTACGATCAATATATCATTATAATAATTATTATTACAAGGAACGCGTAAATTGAGCCGACATTATCAACAACTGAAACTGTTGCGTTAATTTCTGCGGTACAATGTCTGACGGATGTTCGAACTTATTAGAATTCAAGCATCGCTGGAGGAACCCTCCATAATGATAATAGGGATCGATTAAGGCCTCGTGCCTGGGACTTCCGATGCGCCCAAAGGAAGCTAGTTCCGCTTGGAATGGCCCATAATGATAAGGAGTGCGTATGCTGGCTGCTAAGAAGATTGCTCTAAACGGTTTGGTAATGGCCAAACAAATTACGACTGATCATCGGCCAGCGGAAGTCTTGACCACTAAAAATGTCAACGGCATTGCAGAGAGGAAAACCACAAACGTAGTGTAGATATTCTGCTAATTGATAAATAAGTTCGATTACTTATTGCATCGATCGGATATTAAGGAGTTTCTTACATAAATATTAATTTTTCTTTATTTAAAAATAATAATTTACTTATCTTGTTTGCTTAAAATTTAATATAATACTTTAATACATCGATTTTATTATTTTTTAAAAAAGCAATGGTATATTTAATATATAAAAACCTCTTTTGCTGATCATCTACTGCTGAAAATGATATTTTCTTATTTTAAATTTAATTTTAAATAAAAATGGGTCACCAATTAGCCCTTATAATTTATAATCAAATTGTACTAGAATTTAATATTTAATTTCCATATAAAATGTATTTTTACCTTAATTAAAAATAACATTCTAATCCTTCAGATTCCATGTTGATGTAACGACACCAAGCCAAGTGATTATGTTTTCCGTTCCCTGACTCTTCTCTCTCTGTGTGTGTGTGCAACATTTAGCGCGAAAAGTCGGAAGAGACCTCCGCAAGACACCGACTTGACTTGACTCGATTCCAGGTGACTCAGGTGACTCAGCACGGCTTAATGATCATTGCGATCGAAGAGAACCTGGCTCTCTTAGGAGCGTGTAAGCGAGAGGCCGCCTTGCCCCTGAAGAGAGAACAAGCCGCCGGGAGAGCGGCTGAGCAAGCGAGACGTCTGTACTTCACCTGGCACAGGTAATTACACCTGTGCTAATACGGTTCGCTGCTCCCCCTGAGTCGGAGCAGGACAACCAGAGCTGCGGCCGAGTGGAGAGTTCCAACTGCCGCGAGGTTACAAAAACCCCGAGTCGTCGTCGGTTGCTGGCAAGTCGCAAAGTGGAACGCAGCAGCGAACGAGCTCACAAGTTGAAGAGTTAACAAAAAACAAGTACAACAAAAAATAACTATATTTAACACGGCGAGTTACCTGTCGTGTTGGCCACGTTTGTAACGATCGGATCAGTGCACCGTCAGCCAGCGGCGCGCACACACCGAACCTCTCTGGAGAGCTCTGGAGAGAAGCCACCTACCTGGCTGCTAGTACCTATCATCGGACCCGAGAGTGTTAGATAAACTGATAATGCTGCGGCGGCCGACAAAAAAGCACAAACGTGGCGTTAACTTTATTAAACGAAATATATACACACTCACACACGAGAACTAAAAACTGACAAAAAAAAAACAGCAAGCAAAATAACTCAAAAAGTAAAACAAAACGAGTCAGCAGCAGCGACAGCGGCAGCGGCAAAGTGTCAATAAAACTCTCGAATTCATTAACACAACTCAAAACGTTCTATTAGTAAGCACTTGCAAATTTCGACAAAACAAAAAGCACGGAGGAAAAGCTGAAAAGCCCAGCGACGGCGAGCAGAGACACAAATTAGCGTGGCCAACAGTCAAAAGGTCTAATAGAAGCGCGTGTATGCGAGTCTACCAGGTCTACGAGTCTACGAATAGTATATGTACCTACCACCTTGCTGGAGCCCATGATCGTAAAAACCACATCAACGAAGTGCCCACAAAAAAACCCGGCGAGACGATGTCCTTGGCCCCGCCAAAGGGCAGGTGAGTTCAAATTTAACAAAAAAAATTTATACACATCTAGGTGGTGCTTTTTTGAGTGGTGTTTTTTTCCCCTCTCGTTTATATATTTTTTGTTGTTCGGTTTTATGATTATTTGGTGCATCGTCATTAATCACCAGAGCCAGAGCCATAGGCCGGGAAACCTAATGGATCTGCGCTTGAAGCGAAGAAAATCTATTGAGTCCGATTGTTCGTTTGGTGAAAAATTAAAAACTAATTGATCTGGCCACAGTCGAGTCCATTCATCGAGCCGGGGTCTGGATGAATGGTTTTAAAAAGTTGACCTTGGCAACAGTTGAGTTCTCCATGGTGACCTGGAATTTTCCATGATTATTTTTAGATTTTGAGTTGTAATTTTCGAAAGAAAATTGGAGGTTAACTACTTTAATTGTGTGGGTTTTGAAGGATTTTATAGAAAATGGGTTGAGAAGTAGTAAGTGTTTTAATTTCTTTTCCCTTAAAACAGTTTGAAAGATAAGAAGCTTTTTTAAAAACTCTTAAATCTTTATAAATCTATAAATATCATTAATAATCCATTCACATGGAATTCCATTTATAGCTGCTCCATTACTTTCTTTCCAAAATCTCGTAATTATACCGTGGCAAAGCGCTAATAATTTTCTGGCCATAATTCCAGCTGTCAAAGCCAACAGAAATAGTAGTTGAGGGGGGAAGAAAAAAATCCCTACGTTTTTGTGCTCAATCATTTCACATAATTTGTAGCATATAGCATTCGAATGGCAAGGAAAACATTTAGCGGCGCTTTAAACAAGTCAATAAACGATTAAAATAATGATTTTTCAAAAGCCCGAAAAAGAAGTCGAGATCCCCAAAAACAAAAAGCGAATGCCCATATGCCCCCACACACAGGCACACACTCACAAAAGGCAAAGCGGCCCACAAAAACATATTACAAAAGCAGACTCCGAGAAGAAAAAGGAACAGAAAATGTTTATAACCAAAAAATAAGAAAAAAATAGCACAATAAGAGTGATATAATAAAAGGCAACCTCAGTGAGCTCAGTGCTCAGAGTGTTGGCTATAATTGCTTGGGTTCGAGTTTGGGCCATCGAGTGACATCATTTCTGGGCAACTTTTATTTTGTTTTTATATTATAAATTTCGAGTGTCAGGCCAGCGCGCTCTTCGTACCAGAAATATTGCCAAACAAGTTGTACGCTCGGAGTGTGTATATTTCCGAGAGCTTTTTAATTGCTATGACTTTATTAGGTTATCAGAGCCACCGAGCCATCGAGCAGCCAAGCCAATGCCAAAGCTGAAGCTGAAACTGAAGCTGAAGGCAAAGCCGTAGCCGATCTTGATGCCTGAGTTATGTCTCATTAGCAACACGTGTGAGTCCCAGTGCCAGTCCCAGTCTCAGTCCAAGTCCCCGTCCAAGTCCAGATCGAAGACGAGTTCGGGAAGACGGGCCAGCGAAAGAACCCACGATCGCAGCTCACCATTATACCGTCTCCATCTGCTCATCCCGCTCCACGCACACAGTTGCAATATCAATTACAGCATGCCACAGGAGCAGCAAGCGGTGAGCAGTAACTGGTTTTGTTTTGGAACAGATAATGGGATGGGTACATCGGCTATAGCAGGTCTTTAAATAATTTATTTTTGTAAAAAGAGAATATTGTAGGAATTTATTTAACAATTCGAAGAGCTTATGTAAATAAATATTTCATTAAACTATTAAAGACAGTTTTTTAAAAATATTAAAACTATAGAATTTCAAGTATTTCTCTTTTAGAATAAATTTTTTATTAAGGAACAGTCCTTCTCTTTCATTATTAATTATTTGAGCTTCGTTTCCCCCAAAAAATTACATATTTACCAACTTTACCAACTTGTTAGAGCATTTCAAAGTCGAGGCCTAGTCCAGCACAACCTGGCAATTGCTGCTGTTGCCTTTTGGCTGGGACACCTTCTGCTCCTTGTGCGCTCAGAGGTTTCATGTTGCATTTGCCTTGGCCGCATCCTCTCCGAAAATGACCCAGAGCTATCGCCACCACCAGTACTGGCAATTCCAGTGTACCCAATATCCAATACCTAGTATTCAGTATTCAGTATGCAGTACTGTTGCCTTGGAGCCACTGCCATGGCCATAAAGTTGCAGCAGGAAACCGAGTCAAACCGGCAGCGGCAACAACAATTTGCAAACTCATGATGCAGCCTTAAAAGGCCGCCTCATCCGCTCGGGCAAATAAAAAGTGCGTGATTTGTGTGATGTGCCAGAACCACCAGAGAGGACCAAGAGAGTCTCCATCGCCAGTCAGTGGCTGAACCTGAACCCAAGCTCTCGAGAGTCCCTGGCAATCCATCAGGGCAGTCAGGGCCGACAGTTTGCCGGAGGTCTGTTGACCCCTGAGTGCTCTTCTTTAGCCCCGGCAACTGGCAACTGGCAACTGGCAACGTGCAACAGCAGTTGCGCATGTCTAATTGCAGTCAAGTCGGTAGTAAGAGGAGGCTCTCAGGGTTCACGTCTGCCTTGGCTCCGTGAGAATTTGCCACCTGTCAGGCAGCGATAATTGCCAGCGGGTCAAGCGGCAGCAGCAGCAGCAGCAGCAGCAACCTCAACAGGTAACTTGAAGACTTTAAGAGCGCTTAGCAAGGGACTTCAGTACACAAAACCGACATAGATTCTACTTAAGGAAAAGAGAATGGGAAAAGCGATCTTAAACACACTAATCCGACAGGAATGTTGCTGGGGAAAAGAAGGGAAATTAATAGAAATTAGAGTAGCCTTGCTTAATGAACTTATTGATAAAACATAACATATAAGTTTCTTTTATTTAAAATATCATTTTAAAATATTTTCTTTAAAATTTAGCTTATAAAGTTTAATAAAGGATTGTACTTGGAACGCATGACATCTGACAAATGTTAGATTTTTAGCTTTGATTTGCTTGCATCATTATTTTTCAAGCTAATCGCTGGTCAGAGATTTTTGGGAAGTGAACAAAACCAGAATGGTCACTTTGCTTCCGCTTAAGTTGCTCCCCGTTCGCTGCTCCCCGCTCTTTGACCATTTAGGAATCCAGAGTTCCCAACAGCAGCTACAACATTTTTATTAGGCTGACTGGCCAAAGGTTTCCCATTCAAGTGGCCTGTCACTTGTTGTGTTCCCTGTTCTGCTGGGCACTTCTAAAAAAGTTGTTGGGTTTCCTGGAATGGCCCCGGCTCAGCAGACAATCATTCTCTCTCTCTCTCTTATTTTATGTTTATGTTATTTTTTGTGTACTGTCTTTTTTTTTGTTTGTGCTGACGGTAGCTGTGGCTGGCTGACCTTTTTGTTGCCGCAGTTTCGCTGCTCATTTCGGGCGAAGTTGTAAAATGTTGTTCAAAGCGCCGCAGAAACCGTTGGCGTTAATGATCGCCGCTGGGCATGCGACTCGACTCACAGATGAGGAGCAGCCCAGGCATCCTAATAGCTGAAAGGAACCTGAACCCAGTCCGGACTCAATCCCGAACCCTCCTCAACCTCAGCAGCGGCAATCGCTGAATGCTGAACGTTTTTGGGCTACTGGTTGCGTTTTCACGCAACAAATGGCAACATTTAAAAGTCCATTTCGCCTGCTCATCTCCTTTGGCTTTGGCCTCACCTTCAGCTGGGCTCATCCTCATCTACAGCCTCGTCCTCATTCTCATCCGCATCTTCGGGCACAGGTGCACAGCGGGCAGCAGTCACAACACAGCTCTGGCTCATATATCTTGGGCCTGAATGGTCCTCGGGAGGAGTGGAGCGAGAGGATTCATCTTGAAGCTCCAAGATCGCAGCTCGCAGCTGGGAGTTGCGGTGTGGAGCTGGCTCAATTGATGCTGACAGCGAATGAAAGGCTCTGGCTGAGAGACTGCAACTGAGACCTCGGCCAGAATGGCAAATCCAAGGCACAGTGGTTGAAAACTAAGAAGAAAACTTTAAAAAAATCATAAAGAGAAAGAGATTCGAAATATTTTTAGTTAAATATTAAACCTTAAATACAAAGCTTAGAATGTTCTTGACAAAGACCTCCTATTAATCTATAAATTAAGGCAAGCTTAGCTTGTAAACAAGTTTTTTAGAAGTCATAAGCGGATTTAAGTGTTTCATAAATTGGTCAACTCTTAATTTAATCCCAAGCTACTAACTTACATCGATAAAACTGAGGTTATGGCCAAAGATAGCTCAATTTTCTACTTCGAAAAGTGTTCATAAAATACTGTTTAATGGCGTTGGGAATGGATTTTGTAGTAATCCCCCAGTTTGTTAGGCTGTACTTCACCGATTTAATGGGGGGACACACTGTTCTCCTGCTCTCCTGGCTTAGCAGCGATTCAGCCGTTGGGCTAACTTCCTTGCCAGATGTGTAAACCAGTTTTTTGGGTGCCCATTCGAATCGAGCCAAGCTTGAGAGCAGCAACCACAAGCGACGGCGACGACGATGACTTCGACTCCCCACAAGATCAATTCTAGCAGATTTCACTTTTTCCTTGGCCCGGCTCAAAGTTGGGATGTCAGTTTTGGAAAAAAAGGAGGAAGAAAAGCAACAAAAATTGGTATTTTTTGCCGAAGGTGCAGCCTGAACGGTTGCAACTGTTGCTGCCAGTTGCTGGCAGTTGCTGGTGTGTGTTGCATGTTGCTCGTGTGTTGCCTGGCTTGTCGTCGTTTTGTATGCAGCCTCCCTGGATTGCCGGATTCCTTGCTGGCTGCCTCGCTGCCTCTTCCTTGGCACATTGCATTTTTATCTCAATGAGTCGCGCAAACATGTTGTTGTTGCTGGTTGCATGCCACAAATGTGCGATTGGCATGTCAAAAGAATTATGTATTGATTTTTGATTTCTCCCTAAAAGCGGAAGTTTCTTCTCCAAACTCTATACCAGATTTTTGTTCAGGTTCGTGTACTGTCCGCCCCGAACACGGCAACTTATTAAATTCAAACAAATTAAAATCCAGGCCTAGTGACCATCGTCTATCGAGGGAAACGGGTTTTCCACCAAGTGGGCGCCGCTTTGGCCGCAAAATGAATGACACTAAATGCTCTTGACAGCAAACATTTGTCCGCAGCCAAGGCAGTTAATTAGTTTTGCACGAAATTATGTTAGTTAATTGATTAACTATCGAATATTGAAGAGCGGCACAGCACAGGTACTACGGCAGCTCCAGCAGCTCCGGCAGCTTCGTCCACAGATCGATCTGGTCAAGGGGCCCTGCCTTAAAAGCCAGCGAATATAAATTGCTATGTTTCCACCGCTCTTTCCCGGGCGAGGAGAGCAGCTCCTCCTTCGTTGAATCTCCGGTGCTGGGGCTGCTGCTGCTGCACCCACGCAAGAGAGATCCGAAGACCGAAATCCAGGCTTTTGCTGGTCGAGATCGCTGGCTTGTGCGCTGTCTAAATATGGACATGGGCGGCCTGAAATTTCGAGGGGCCGATTGCCGAAGCGGGCACCGAACACAGTCATTGCAATGGCTGTGGAGGAGTAACCAGCAATGGCCTGGTCGGGGAGTCAGTGATCTGTGCCGATATCTCCACAGCCCCCTGATTGTCTCTCTTTTCGAAGGTGAAATAGTGGTTCGGCCGAGAAATTGGTTACTAATAGGGGGAAGGGAAAGCCCTATAAGGAGTAGGTCTTGGTTAAAAGTATAAGTGGAGAGGAAAATCTACGAAAATTAACTTTACAGGTTGGGAAATTGCTTTTAAAAAGTATGAAAGTGAAATAGTAATAGACTCTTACTGTTGGGCAATTGTAATCATAAAATAGAAAATATCAATCAAAGCTCTGTTAAAAATATTATAAACAATTTTGATAGTAAAAGACCTCACTGGGCAAAGATCAGGCAATAAAACAGCATTCAAATCGTACTAAAAGTAAGCTTTAGGAATACAAAAAAGAGAATGTTACACAGATCTAACTTATTGTGTCGAAAGAGCGGCTGGGAGAATGGCAGATCTGACAGATAAAAGTGACTTGTGCTCTGAAAGCCATCACTGTTGAGGAACGTTTTACGAGAGGTATAAAGATATGACTAAAGCGAGTGGTGAGTGGCCAGTTCCGTTTCGATTCGACTTCGATTAACCTGGCTCACAGGCTCACAGATCGTGCCAGCTAACCACGTAACTTTGCGGCATGAGAATCATTCTTTGTATCCGCGATATATAGCTTATTTATAGAGAATATTTCACCAGATCAGAGCGCTGTAGTAGGCCCATAAGCTGCTCATCAGCTTTGTTGCTGAGTTGCTAATGAAGATCCCAGAGTGGCCAAAAGCGCGGGATGATGACTGTTTGTGTGTGCCTTGGTAATTAATAAAAAAATTTCAAAAAAATCCGACACGACGCACGGCTCAAAACAGGCACAGACACAGCTACAGAAACCCACAAAAAAATAAAGGTGAACAAAAACGGCCAGATGGGCTAGAGAAAAATTAGAGCCAGCCAGCTAGCCAGACAATGGCCCTCCGAGCCGTGCCAAGCTGCTTTGCCTTGCCAACGCATTGAAAATTGTGCGCATTGTTCGGATGACTACCCAGCGTGTTGTGCTCTCTCACTGTCAACTACTTGAAACCAGAAAGCCAGGCTCAAAGCGGGCTGAGAAGGCGAACAAAAATAAACGATATAACAGACAAAACAAAAATCACATACACGACTTTTTCGTAACAGTCACGTTTTTTATTTCATTTTATTTACTTTGCTGACAAAACAAGAAAAGTACTGGCCAAAAAGAAAAAGAAACGAAAATCGAGCAGAGCTTGCGCCCAAAGTTGACGCATCGTGCCATCCAAACAAATCATAAATACTCGTATCTGGACAGAAAAAAAATTTAAAATAAATAAAAATCCACAAAAAAATGGTAGCCAACATGAAGAGGCATAAAAGTTAGAAATTCCACAAAATCTGATTAGAAGAAAAAAAAGGTAGTAAAAAAAATTGGAAGCTATATAAAAGGCGGTTAGAAAGAGTAGGAAGTGCCAGGGATTATGATGTTGCGTTCGATTTAATGACAGCTTCGGGTTATACATAGCTGCCACCGCTGCAATTAGTTTTCTCCATCCCGAAGCCTATGCTGCGTCCGTCTCTGGTGGCGTATACGCAATACGCTCGTATATAATTCGCCTGGCACTATAGCATATACATACATATGTATGTGCCGACTTCTTGTTGCCGTTACTGCGCTCCGCCGCTGTATGTGTGAATGATGAGTGTTGAGTTGGAGGTAATAATTGCTACTGGTCGTCATCGGGCTTGTCGTGAGCTCAGCGCAAACATATAATTAAGATTGAGCTGAGATGAAGCCTTCTTAAAGGTCAATCTAGGGATGACACCAGATATGGACATATATATCGTTTTAAAATCGTTGATAACGGTCGACACCAGTGTAGCATGTTCTTTTTTAATGTATAAATTAAATTAAATAATATTCATATATTTATCTAACAAAATACTTATATTAATATATCGATAGGTTCGATAGGTTGGTTTATGAAATCCTACACCTTTCGATATACAATCCCTCAGTCATTCTCTCTACCTTTCTCTCGCATCTCGACTCTGCCTCTTAAAAGGCCATATTTTAACCGAAAAAAAAAAACTGCATAGCTTGGCACAATTATGAAATATTTTTGCAAAACTCAAAAAAGAAACAACCTAAAACTGGTTTGGCCAGCGTAATGAAGGATAATGATGATGATGATGACGATGCGGGGCCAGGCTCTGAGCTCTGAGCTGCCAGCCTCGAGCTTCTCAGCTCCGATCTCGAAGATCCCCAGATCCCGAACTTCAGTCCAGGCCTGAGCCTCAGTCGTACGTACCCAGGCTAGAGAAGTGGAGAAAAGATTTATGAGCCGGGCAACTAAAAGATGAAGATGCCACTTGCCACTTGCAACAAGCTTGGCTCGCCCGCAGGCCGCTTTATTTGTCAAGATTAATTACAAAAATTTGCGTTAAATCATAATTTTCAATGTTTTATGGGCCAGCCGCCCGCCTAGAACAGTGAGGCATAAAAAGAGGAAAACACCTTTCATTTTGATTTACGACTCATTGTAAGTAAAAAACACTTGAATTGTTGACAGGCCCATGCTGGGATTGCTTTTGGCATTTTGCCTGGGAATGACATTTATCTGAACCTGCGGAAAAATTCAACGCAAATTTGTTTGCCGGCTATTCGACGGCTTGATAAGATGTAGTGGAGAAAAATTTGGCAACTCTCTGGGGCGTCGAGTTGATAAAGTTTGAATAAATATGGAATTTCGTGGGATTGGTATTTGGTTTTCCTTTCCGCAAGTCATTTGTTGTAGGTTTTTACAATATTTTTACTGGTTTCCTATTCATTTAATACACGAGAACTATATATTCAAACAAAAATGCATTTCCTTTACAGTGAAATTCCTGGCACTCCATAACAACATCATCAAAGGCCATGGCGCAACTTTGGTTCCCAGGAGTCCTTTCAGCAGAACCGCCGCGAAGATCCAAGATGCCCAAGTACCCAGGCTCTGACAGAATTACAGAAATTCAGGGGGGAGACGAGAGTCAGAGGATCCTCCACTCCTAAGGTAAGCGAACCCGCTGCTTTTTATGGATTTAATTAAACGGGGGCAACATTGGTGCGCCTCATTAGCGGCAATTTGTTGGGCATGCCGCCATCAAATCAAACGTGGTGCGTTTTCACAGAAGCCACGCGGTCCCCAGATAACCCAGAGCCAGTGTCCAATACCTGGTACCCGATATACCGGGGGATAAGCCAACACTCAAGTTCGAGCCCGCAAAGTCGGAGGAGTTCCAGTTCCCGCCGAGCAACGAACCTGCTAATTATGCATTATACACGGCGTTTCTGGTGTTTCTTATGGGGGCCGCCTTCTCGGCCTTATCTATCAAAGCGTTGCGGGGCATAAAATTCAAATTGACGCTCCGACAGTGAAAGCGTGTGAACTGAACTTGAGACGTGGCCACGGCATAGATATATGCCGACACATAGAGCAGCAGTCGCGAGATATATAAATTAAGCTAAAACCGCAAACAAACATGAGGTTTTCAAGCTGGAAAACTGAGATAACAAGTCAGACGGATGGGCGCGTGATAAATACAAGAAAACCTCATAGGGGAATTGCAAAATATGGGCTTCTGGGTTTTATAAAAATATGTATATCTATTCTATAAAAAATTATTTTATTGAGTTTCCCAATCAATATTAATTTCCAAAGCCCCACTCACGCATCTCCGTCTCGTGACTCTCGCACCTCACGGTTCCCTTAACCCAAGTGAGCCACTTTTCATGCATATGCAAACAAGGGAGACAACACAAATTTAAGGAGAAAAAAAAATATAAAAAACCAGACACAACAAAAGCAGCTGGCACAACAATCACCGGGGGCTTAACCCATAAATCCACACATGTTTACATTGGCTTAGCCACTCGAATTGAGGCTGGCCACAGCCGCTGCTGTGCTGGTGGTGCGCTTCCATATCAGTTGACAAATTTGTCAACTTGCCTGGCAACTTGAATGACATTTTCCAGAGCCAGTGTGCCTCAATTTAGTGCCTCCCCACCAGCCCGCCGCCAGCTATTTCCCCCCGAAAGGAAAAGCGAACAATGGACAAACGGCCGGCCGGGCTTTCAATTCAAGAAATGGACAATTGTTGTCTCACTACGCTGATTCAATACAGATACAGATACGGGTAACAGGTAACAGGTAAAAATATTGGCCATCAGCATTGGCAACGGTAGCAGTCAACAACTGTAATTACTCCGAGTGCGATAAGGCCGCCCGTTGAAGTTGAAGTCGAGGCTTCAGCTAGTTGCACAAGTCTGTCTTATCAGTCCATAAATAGCAATCAGATGAGTCAATTTGAGTGAGTTTTTAGTTGGCCATATAGTTGGTAATAACTCTAAGAATTTAGAGGAGCTTGGTTAAGAAGGAAGTAGACTAGAACAATTTATTAAAGACAGATAAATCCCAAAGGATGTTAAGTCGTCTTATTGGCTACTCATAAATTCTTAAAGAAATTATATATGATAGCTAAAATAAACCTTACTAATAGTTTCGTTTAAGAACCCATTAAAAAACCATAAAATTAGCTTTCCTTATTGCTTTCCTTTAGTGTGCCTAGCAATCAAAACAAATTTAAAAAAAACGCAGTCAGTGCGGCCAATATAACCCTAAAACATTAATGCGGATCTATGGCCGTTCATAAATCGTTGCTACATTCTTATCTTCTATCTGATATCTAATGCCTTCGATGCAGCTGCTACCGGCCAGAAGTCGAAGATAAATGCGACCGCGAAAACTTTGACAAGCGATTAACTTTACAATTTATCGCCCGGCAATTTGAATCGTCGTAAATCTTGGCCAGGCGACTCCAACTCCAACTCCAGCTCCCTCTAGAACCTGGTGCCCGGCTCGTGTTGCGTCATTAATTTAACCAGTTGTTGCAACAAGCTTTAGCTTAGCCATTGGGTCAGGTTCGAGGCGCTCTAAGAATCGCTCTGATTAAAACATCAGACCCGGAGTAAAGTCGTTCGACGGCTCCCCTTTCCCGCTCTCCGCCCCGGAGTCGCTTTTATTTATGCATGTTTAAACATATTTAATGTCATTACGAGCACCTTGCCCAGCGCCCATGCCACAAACACGCATTTAATTATCTCGGCCGGCTCACCACATGCCCCATGCGCATTAATTTAATGAACGCATGCATTTCACATTTTTATCATGTCCAATTGGAGTGGGTTGGGGCTGGGGATCCGCGACGGTGTATCCCAGTAGCTGGCCGGCCTGTTCCAATATATTTATTGCATCGTCGCCTTCAACGTTGTCGTTGTCGTTGCCAGTTGCCAGTTGCCGTTGTTGCTCTGGTTGTTGCTGCTGCATCCTCGTCTCCATCGTCGTCGCGTTTTTAATCGCATTTAATATTTCATTTTATTAAGCCAATCGTTAAGTCCAGTCGCCGGTGCATCTGGATCTGCATCTGGTTGGTTGGTCACCTCGCTGCGGCGGATCCACGTCTGCTGATCGTCTGCTGGCGAACGGTGAGCAATTTGCTTAATGCTGTCATAAGGCTGTCAGTTTATCATTTGCATTGCGGCGCCTTTGGCGACATGGAGATGACACTTAATAAGCAGCTAACTTACGGGCCACCACTGGGGAGCTGTTGGGAACTTCTGGTAGCTCAGAAACTAGGAGTTGAGTTGGTGGAACTAGACGAAATGCCAGGCATTTCATTGGTGGCATGTGGCTGCCACAACTCTGCAGCTGCAACTGAAAACCAACTGCATTCCATTCAGTCAACGGTGCGGAGTGTACAATTGCTATAGTCAATTGCACCTCCCTAAGAGAAGTGCACTGGGAGAATATTTGTGAGTTTTTTTTAAATGGAAATAAAAATGAAATTAATCAAGATGCTTGGTTTTTAGAGAGATATTTCTAAGATAATCTAATACATATCCGAAAACAGTTAATTAAATAAAGTTTTTTTCCGTATAATCAAACAAATAAGTCATGTGCATAGAGGGGGGTTCTTTAATTGAATTAACTCCTCTTGTTTCCAGTCCAACTGGCTGCTTTGCCAATGTTTAAGGTACAACCCCGAGTGTATTAGGTTTGAACTACGCTCATGGCTGGCATTAAAAAAAAGGGGCAAAAGCAACTGTTGCCATGTTATTGTGGCAAGTTTTTGTAGCTCCTGCTTCCTGTCGTTATATGAGCTGTAAGTTGTATGCGGATAAGATGCGAGGGTTGCTTGAATTTTATATGGAAAGTTTTAAGAATAAAGATTTACGTTTGAAATTCAAGTTTTTTTAGAGAAATTCCTATAAATATAATCTTTTACTTATTATCTTACCAATATCCCCGTTAAATATACATATTAAAGAACATGTTACTCGCCTAACTGCCCTCGCCCTGTATCCATTGATACTTATGTCAATTACCATTCTTCATTCGCCTCTTTGCAGACAAATACCGTGGACTCGGTTACCATTTGGTCGCTCGTCTTGTCAATCACTTGGGATCGAGTTGAGCGGGCAGGCCTCAATTGGAAAATGTCCAAGGATGACCGGCGGACGCTTCCTGTTTGGGTAAGTTGATACTCCGGCCTAGGCAGGGGCTTAATTAGCCACACGACAGAACTTGGACTCCGACTCCGACTGCGACTGCGACCCCGACCCCTTGGTGACCTCATAGCTGACGGTGGCGACTAATTTATCAAAAAATGGAGAGGAAAAAGCTGAAATAACTCTACGCATAATTAAATCAAGCCAAACAAAACAGAAACTGCTATAAGGGAACTAGCCACAGAAACATTAAGATAACCAAATGCGTTTTTAAGCCGTTGAGCAACGCCTCTTTCTAACAGTTTCAACTTGGTCTAGAGTCTTGAGAGTTTTCGGGATTGCTTTTTCTTATCCATTCTGGCGTTTTGTTTGAATTTTTCCCTTGGTTAATTGCCGCTTATTAATCTTTGGTGCGGTTAATGGTTTACGGACTCACAGAAAACCGAAATTCTAATTAATGAAATATATATTTTTCGGCCTTTTGCTTGCATTGTTTTCTAAGCCGAAACTATAATCAATCATCGCAGTTCGCAGCCCAAAGATTCCACAGACTCTACTAGAGTGTGTTGACAAATTTTGTGAGTTGCCGGGGCAGATTGACAGGAAAATTAAGCAATCAATCATGGGCTATCAAACGAAGCCGCCGCAAATGGCCTTCTAAAGGTCTATAGAGCCGAAATCCAGTCTTATCAAACGATGATGCACGTCTGGGCCATTATTTAAATGCTAATGTTAATACACGAAATCACGTTAGTCGAGAATGTTGACAAAATCTCAGGCTGATTCAGGTTTCCGATTTATTTTTAGTCGCTGCTGCGCTGCGCTACTCGTGTATCTCGCATGCGATTGAAATGAAATATAAAATTACATTAAATTACCGGATGTAATTGCGGTGGTCGTGCCAGTCGTCGCTGTCTCGCTCTCTCTCTCTCTTGTTTTCCCCCTGTCAGTTCGGTCAGTGAATCACGAAATGCGTCGAAACAAAAGACTGAGGCAACGAACTCGATTCGAGCAACGCGCACACACTCATGTCCAAAATCAGAAAGAGCTGCAACCCACACAGAAAGGTAACGAGCATCGAAGACCCACACAAAACAGCCAAAGTTAAGTGCTATCTTATCAGGGCTAACGATTTTGTCAAATGACAATTTTCTCGGCCTCATTGAAAGCTGAATGCCGAACGCCGAACGCTGAATGCCTCTTTTTCACGCCATCCATTTGACTTTTGTATGGTCCATTTAGTTGTCAATTATTTTTGATAGCCCCAGCTCAGGCAGCTGATAAGAGAGCCAGCCAGCCAGCCAATACAAGACTCGTTTTGGGCCAACTGGGAAAAGGAGCCAAAGGGGCAAAAACAAAATCGGATCCAGCTACTGCAGCGCCTGGCCTGAACCGCTCTCCGTTTTGGCCACATTTGCATATTGAACGGCAGTTTGTCTTGAGCCTGAGCTTTTAGTTATGGCCAAGCATTAAATTTAACTATTAAGCCATTTTTGGTTCGACTTTCCAATGGGGCCAAACACAACAAACATTGTCTCCTGACAGTTGTTCCCTATGGGAGTTTATTTTTTCGTTGTATTTGTCTTGGAATTTATGAGCCAAAAACTCACCGACAGATGGACAGAGTGATTAACAAGAAATGGAGAGGCATGGGAACTTGGGATTGGCCACATATAAAAAAGGCCAACAGCTCACTTGATGGTTGCTTCCCCGTTTCATTGCCTTGAACTATCCTAAAAGCTAGAAAGAAATTAAACCAAATGCCAAGGGAAATTGTAGCGAGATGATTACAAATATTTTTATGGCTTAGCTAACTCATTGCACTTGGGCAATAAAATTATTTAAGGTGTCTGAAAAATAATCTTGGGTATAATAAAAAAGATCTAAGCTGTATAATGCAATTTATTTGATTTGAGAGTTTCATAAATCAATTCAAGTGTTAATGGTCAGAAATTAAAATCTGGTTTATACACTAAATCAAGCCATTTAAAAGAGTATGAAATAAATACAAATTCATTTATGTATAATTTTAACATAAAACAGTTAGAAAAACTACACGAAAAAGAGGAAGTTGCCACCCAGAAATATAAATCTGATTTTATTTCATTGCAAGAAATTCGAATTATCAAGAGATAAAATTCATTTCTTGCAACTCAATCAAGCGGCATGCAGCAGAGGCTGCTGACCTATATATGGCTAATAAGAACCGACTTGCGTACCTGCATATATTCGCTGGCAACATACAGATATATCCTCGTTACATATTCCCCATATTGATATCTCCACCTCCTGGCCGTCGGGGTTCGTGCAACAATTTTCGTCGAAAACAATTTCGCAGAGCACGAGATGCGGATGGTTGGTTGGAATGGAGGCCAGGAAAGATCAACGGAAAATGAGAAATATTTTCGCAGTGCATATGCCACGCACGTAGAGTGCAAACCAAACGAAACAGTAACAATCAGACAATCATGCACATAATCATGCCATCAATATATGGCAATTATCAATGAAATTTATAACAATCCACGAAATGTAACGAAAACTTAACCGACCAATAAAAATTTCATTTTTCAAAAAGGAGTCTTGGTTGGTCATCAGAGGGGAGCAAAAAAAAAAAAGGAAAGAAAACCGACAACATGATCATGAGCGTTCGCTTCGCCTTGTGATCTGCATCATAAAAACGTGCCAGATTGATGCGTGATTGAAATGCCAATTGGTTTCCAGTTGGACTCGACTCGGACTCAGCTCTCTGGTAATAACAACAACAATTGGTTCGTCAGACAGCAGTGGTCAAAATAATAGTGATTTACTTTCCATTCTGATTCTGCATTTAAATCAGATAGTATGAACATTAAAGTTATTAACTTAATTAAGATTTCTTACATTTTGACAACTAAAAGTAATTTTTAAAAATATTTTCTTTATATATTCCTTTTACCCCAATTGTATAAAGCATATATTTATTTTTTTGTTGGAGTGTGCGTGCTGTTCCCGTTACCAACACAATCTGCATTGTCATCTTGGACAATTAGAACCAACCGAGATCTTAAAGATACGTTTGTTTTTTGTATTTTGTAGATCACCTATACTCATTCTTTTTTTTTTTTTTTTTTTGGGAAGAACCCACAAAAAAGTGGGAGGAAAGCCGTCACTGACTGACTGGCAGTTTTGGCTGCAGCTTACAGAGGGGCAGAGAGCAGAAGACCAGAATCAATCCGCTAGATAAACAGTTAGAGTCCCGGCCAAAAGGGGGTTTCCGGGGATTTCCGTTGACCGCTTACCGTTGCCGGAGCTAGCCGAGACTTGGGAGAGAGGTTTTGTCGCCATGACCATGACTTGTCTATCCATATGTATGTTAGCCGCCACACACACACACACTTTGACGAGGGTTACCACGATTTCTCGACGGGATTCGTAACGGAAGCGGGCATCACATTTCCCACTCGTTCTCGATTGTATTCGGCTCTGATTTCGCCATCAATCATTGTAATAATATATCCAAGTATTATTACAAAAATATTAATTGGTGCTTACAACTATTTTGACAGCTTTATGGGGTTTTGAAAAAGCGTTTTGTATTCAGTTTAGAGTGGTATATTTAGGGGGGTTATATGGATTGGAATATAAAATTATTAAGATCATTGAAAGGAAAAATATCTCTTCTTTAAAACTTAGAAAATTCTTAAGGTAATCATTAAAAATATCATAAACCTTTAACTATGTTTAAACTTCCGGTTGTTTGGCTAGAGTACATCAACTTCGTCTCCTTAAAACTCAATAAATATATTACATATGCATTTTCTGACCATGGCGCGCCATCGACTGGCTGACTGATGAATGGACTTGGCTGGCGCCAACGAGAACAGGAGGGAGCTGGACGGAAACAGGACGGAACACAGGACAGACCAGGACAGACCTGGACCGAACCGAGTGTAGTAGAACTATCAAACTCCTCCGGATGGCTGTCTGGCCATCTAGGGCAACCCGAACGATCGACTGGCAATAGCATCTGCGATGAACAGCCGCCTCTTTTTTTTACAGCTTCCTCTCTCTCTTATCTGCTGGCTACAAATTGACCATTTCAATTAATGAAACGCACTTAAACACTAAAGAGTTTCTTGGCTCTCAAGTTCGCCAGTCAAGTGTTGGCGCTAATGAACATGGCGAATGCGAGTCGTAAAATCCAACAACAATCCAACAGATCTTGGTCGTCCTCCTTTTTTTCAGTTTGTTTCTTTTTCCCGCCGCTCCTTGGCCTTTATTTTCCGCGTTCCGCTCACATTTGCATATTTCGTTGTCGAGATTAAGCGCGTAAATTTGTCGTTAAAAATCATGTTTGAGATACACGCGATTACCCACCGGACAAATCTAAAAAAAAGCTTAAAAAAAAGAAACACAGGCAGCTGTTGATTTTTAACTGTTTATTCGGCTCGAGTTTGTTTCTCGTATTTTGATTGCGCGGCCACTCGATTTGATTGATGGCTGTCGCCTCACGGCGCATGCGCGGCATGTCTATGCCACTGACGTACTGATTTACCGTTCGTTGCCTGATAAGCAAGCCAACAAAAAATCGAATAAAAAAACGAGTGGCAATTACCTCAAGTGGAGCAGCATTTGGCATTTGCATAAATTGGCCTAAAACAAAAAAAAAAAAAGAGGAGGAAAAAAACCAAACGAAATGAAACGACACGGAACGAGACGAGACCGTAGACTTGGGCAACGAAATCGGAGCTTTCTTCGTGACCGGCGACGTTTTCCCAGAGATCCCGAGACGAAATAGTCCCCCATAATGAGGGGTCCCACAGGGGTCACAGATGTCCAAAGCAATTTGCTGTTACAATTTGTTTGGGCCAACGACAAGTCAATTTGCCCTAAGGAGAGATTTCCGAAGATCCGAGAAGTATTTTTCTTTAATTTAACAGAAAGCCAGGAAGATTTCCAAACCCAAACTAAGTATATTTTATTGAACTGAAAAGCAGACTCTACCATTAAATTCGCTTCTTAATAATAACATTAATGTATAATTATTTTTAATACACACCCATTAGATTTTCCCTTGTATTTCGCCACTCATTTCCCAAGTAGAGCATGGAAATGCTCTTAATCTCTCGCTACCTAATTAGTTTATGCTACCCATTATAATTTTTAATTGGCTCTGCACTGCCGCAAACAAGATTGAAAATACTCGTACCGCATAGCAAAAGAAGTAGCGAACAAAAAAAAAAAAAATTCAATTGTAATTTTATGCAACACGCAGCCGCAAAATGATTTTCACAGCAAATTATGCGGCCAACCGCAGCTTGGAGTCGTGGAACATGCAACATGGATTTCCCACGCATGCCCCCAATGAATGGGAACGAGCTGTTCTGAAGATATGTACTATACTATATAGATACATCTCTATGGCGCAGAAGCCACTTCCGCGGTTTAACCTGAGAAGACGAATAATTTGCGTTTTTGATTTAATCGTGGGATAGATCAAAGCCACCTTATCAGAGAACTTGGCCGAGCAGGTGAACTGGTCGGGACAGTCTTTTGGCCAACAACGTGGGATAGAAGTCTGCGAGGTGTTCAGGTTTTAATGCCCCTCCTTTTGTGGGAGAATTCGGGCCTTAAAACAGAGCAACGCTCTTGGCTTCCCAGAATGACGGAAGTTGTGACTGATTCAAGTGGAGATTAAGTTTCAGGCTGCCGATGATTTTATACCTGTCTTTTTTTTAGGTACAAAGTCTGGAAGCCCTGCAGAAATCTACAGGTAAGTACAAGCTGTAAATTCAAGTGAAATCAATGAAATTGTAAGACAAGATCTAAGATCTTGCAGAGTGTTAAACCATCTCGGCACAGTTAATGGCACTGGAAGAATTCACGGGGTTATTTCTAAACAACCCGTGATCTCTTAGTGGCATCTATGGTGCGGGAATTGAACATCCAATCAGAATCAAAATCAAAATCAAAAGTTATAAATGTGTTAATGTGAACTGCATTAAATCGGTTGCTCAATGTGAAACCTTACCTGTTCTTTCTCTTTTTAATTAATTATTAAAGCGTCGGACTCATTAGCACTTCAAGCCGCAAAGCCAGCCCCAAAAAACAATCTAATTCATAAATATCGAGTGAGAAAAAAATGCTTTCAAAAATGTTGGAAAAATATATGGGGGAAAGAGAGCTGAGGGCCGGACATGGAGGCAGCCTTGAAAAATCACCTTTCACACCGCCGGTTTCTTTTCTTTTTTTTTGCCCACAATTAACAGTTCAATGAACCCGCTTCGTATTCCCTTCAAGTTCGAGACCCAGGCGGATGGCAGAAGAAACGAACTCACAAAGTACCAATCTCCCGGAGAATAGCACAAAACCCATGGATAATAGCCCATGGAGCTGTTGGGCCGGCCATCACTACTACTTCTTCTTAAAAAACAGAGCTTCACATACAGATAAAAAAGAGCGGGAAGTGGGAAGTGGGAAGCGGGAAAAGAGAGAGGGAGAGAGATGAGGGGTGAAAAAAAAGATAATTAACTTTTTTTCTTCTCTTAGCACTAAGTATGCCAAAGAGGAAGCACTAACAACAGCAACGCCAACAAATTACAACACATTACAATGGACGCTGCAAGTGTGAGAAGGTTCCCTCAATCCTCTGCCCAAGGGCCCCGTCCCCACCTCGCTTCCCTTCTTTCTCTTGGAGCCTAAACGCTTCAATGATTTTGTCATGCATAAATTTCGCAGGTCTGCTGAAAATTCTGCAGTCTGCCAAAGCAAGAATCAAATAAATTCCTGCACACAACTCTTTTTTTTCGTACTTGCTGTTCTGAGCCATGTTTCCCTTCTGGTCAAGTTCCGCTTGAGTTCTTTGGAGGGGAAATAATAATGATGATGCTTCCTGTTTGTCAGCTACGTACATATGTACTTCCACACACACACTCACTCCCATATTTATGGGCCACCTTTTGCGCTGATAAGTCGCAGTTGGAGGCACAATTGAAATTTCTTCTTAATTAAGTCTGGTGCGCTGCCATCGGCGGCTTTGATCTTCGGCTTTGAAATAATTCAGGGAATTTCAGGAGAATGGCGGGTTATAGGACCTTGTATATGGTGAAGCTTAAAATAGTACATATGTTATAATTTAAGTTTCCAGGAAATTAAATTACAAGTTGTCTATACTAATTAGAAGTAATTTATTTATAATTAAGCAGCTTTTTCCAATACTGTGACAAACAAAATATGAAAAATGATTTGTTTATGAGTTTGAAATTTTAAAAAATAATTATCAGGAGCTTATTCTAATAACAAAAACACTATTAAAAAGTGGTTTAAATGATTTTTAACATAAAAACTTTAATTTTTAATAAATATTGTTCTACAAAATATTTAAAATTAATCAATTTAACTGCTATTTTTATTACCTGGATTTCAAGTCATTTAACAGTAAAATAATATCAGCAAATAAATGTTAAACTAACCATGGTATTAAAGTCAAAAATGATGTATTAAATATTTCATATAATCAGGTTTACTTTTTTCTTTTTTACTATACTCTTGGCATTATTCAAACACTAATAGATAATAAAACCAGAAATTAACTTACAATTGACAAGTATATTTTCATAGCTGCCGTAATTTTATTAATAGATTCCATAACAATGTTGCTAACGAGACTTAAACGAAGTTATACATACAACATATTTTCTTTGGTAAAAATAATGGCATTGTTAATGCGATCTACATGCCATTGTTCCATTACATTGGTTACGGATGAAAATCCCGCCAGATGGCAGGGAAAACAAATTGATTGGCGGCAAATGGTTAACATTTTTGCATAATTCAATGCGCACGCGTTCTGGTTTTAGTTTCGGCAATTTTCCTATCCTTCTTATTTTGCTTTGCCACAGCTGCAGAAAATGGTCAAGAAAAGTGCGAGGAGAAAGAGAGGCGGAAAAGCGGAGGGGAAGTTGTTGGGCCTGCTCCGATTTAAAATCATTAAATAGACGACAGGCGAAATCGAAATTGCAGTGCCAAAGTTGCCGCCTGCTGTTGCAGACGTCGTTGTGGTTAGTGATGGGAAAGGCACCTTTTCTTATTTTTTTTTATAAATTAGGTACAAGTTAAGTAATTTAATAAGTACCTGGGTAAGGTAAACGTACTCCTAAAGGTAGATTTGGTGTAACTTAGTATTGTTAAAGAAAGTGATAATATGGAAGATTGGATGCATATATATAATGATTTATTTATAAATATTTTTGTACCTCTTACTAATAAGAATTATAATTTAAGTACCCTTAAGGCTTTAAGTAACCTAATATAAGTTTGAATTGTACCTTGAAAGAACACATATAAGTACTTAAATGTACCTAGATCTAGGTATCTTCTTTTCCTACATATCTCTCACAATTTTATATACTTTTAAGTCTTAAAATGTACTCAATTTTTATTCATTATTGTACCTAGTTAAGAAAATAAGCTCTTTACCTAGTTCCATCTCTAACTCCAAATCGGTGTTGTCTGTTGTCGCAGGGTGGTTTGGGAAAATTTGAAAATTACCTTTAATCAGAGCGAAAATGAGATGGCTAATTTGAGTGTGCCGGAATAGGAATCTGGCTGGAAAATGGAAAATAGCGACTGTGGGAATTGCAGTTCTTGTCATTTCGGTCAGTGGGAAAACTCTTTATCTTTTTTTTTTCTCGCTTGGCGTGGGTGGGCAAAAGAGACAGCAGCTGTGCGTCGGAATGCGATCTCTCCTGCCCGCTTCCTTTGGTCGCCAGCTTGATGAGAACTGGACTTGGTTCACATAAAACAAAAGGAACTTGCTTGGACCATGTTATGCAAAATTGGTACACGGGAAGAAATGTTATAGAATTTACTTGAATATTTGTTCAATTTGTTTTTTATATAGATTTTTGTTTACTATATAGTTTAGGTTTACTAAATACGCCTATAATTCTGAAGTACAAATTCAGCGAACAACTGCAATATAACTAGGCAACATTTTAAGGTTGGTTCAGTTCCAAAAATATCGTTCTAAAAAGGTTTTTTCATTCTAAAACTAGTATAGAATCATGTGGCTTAAATCACCCATTTAAATATTACATAATTTTCATTTTTTTCTCTCTGTGTGAAGATAGAAAGAGAGGCAGCTAGCACGCGTCTTGCTCGCCAGTGTTTTTTGATCTATGAGCCGCGATTACGAGGCGCAGCTAAAAGCTGCACAAATAAAGCGCGGCGATCTCCGCCAGTTGATCCCCAAGTGAGGCAGCTGCTGCTGCTTTTCCTGATGCTGCCTGCCAGCAGTTGCAAATGATGATGAGGCAGCGGCAACAACACTGGTCTGCAACACGGCCAGCAACAACAGCAGCAGCAATGAAGCCCAGGCCAGGAGGCCATGACAAGCGACAAGTTGTCGTTAGGCCCAAAATTAGATGCATTTTGTATGCCAGGCATAGATCGCAACCGAGAGCACGGAGAGCAATAGTTTACACTTGAAAAAAGCGTATAAAAATAGAGGAAAATATGGTATAAAATGTTGTAGAACATTTTACTATAAAATAATTAATTTAAAGTCAAAAGATCAATAGATTTTAGATAAGTACAAAGCCATGAAAAGATATTTTAAGAAATAAATTTAATTAAAATTATTAATTAACTAAAGGGTATAAGTCGGAAAGCGTATTTTGTTCCAGTGTCCCATTCACCTATAAGAGAGCCAGAGGAGAGGCTGCAGTTATGGGCTTAGGGTAAACATTTGGCGACGCATCAATGCAGCTGCAACAGCAACAACACCAACAAAATCAAGAACAACACCGGCTTAAAAACACCAGAGCTCCAACAACCACATAGGAAGCGGCTCACAGCTTGTGGAGTGTGCAAATATTTTAGCAGCAATTTTCAGTTTAATGGCTTCAAAACGAGGCGCATCGTGTGCCCAACAGCTTTTGGCGGCTCAAAGGTATTTTCTTGTTCGTTTTTGCAGTCTCTATGCATAGAGCAAAACAATAATTATGACTAAAATATGATTTTATGGGATATTAAGGAGTGTATTTTACGTATTGAAGATATAGTTATTAAGTTGATTTTTTAAATGTATTAATTTATTTAATATTTTTACGGTAAGAAGATTAAATTTAATCTGAATAATTTAAATTTAATTATAATTATTACAATTCGATTACCACAACTGGAATATGATTTCAAATGTTATCAATCAATACATACTATTAGGGCACGTAATCATTATAAGTGAAATAAAATTAAACAACGTTTAAGTTGTATATAGGTTTAAGTTGAATTAATATTCTTTCATATATATATCATTCAAAGAACCCTTCTAAAGGTCAATAAAATCTAATTTCATTGGGAAGTACACGCAATTATAGCTATTTTGATTATATGGCAATTGAGTAATACCAGAGTTATAGGAACTATATACCTGATGGTCTGAGAGAGGTTCTCTCACCTCTCCCATTTTATATTGCATTTCTCTCGCTTCGGGGAATTTCCTAACGTTAATTAGTAAGCGGTGTACACGTGATGACAATGACTCTTGCTATCGGTTCATAGAGATCAATGCAAAACAGATATTTCTCAGTTCCCAGACCCCTTTAAGCGGTATATACATATGTACATAAATGACGACCTCGTGGCGGATCTTTTCCCCCCGAGTTCCGTTCCTCGTTCGATTTTGTTTTGAATTATCTGAAGATTTGTCCCTGAAATTGTGCAGCAACCCCGTTCCCGATTCGGGGTTTCCGTTAGGCTCCCCAGTTTTAAAGAATCCGTTGCGTGTTGATTGATTTTATGCGAATTTCTGATACACATTTATTAACAATTCAAATTGCAAGTTGAAGTTGAGTATCTCAAGGCGACCGCAAAGAGTTCACAGTTTGAGGTGCCAGTGGCTGTAAAACTGTACATGGTTTGAATCTTTGCTGTGGTGGTCTCAGTGAGGACTTTTACCACCTCGGTGGTGAGTTTTTAAGGGGGTGGTTGTAGTTTTGGCTGAATTTTAATTATTATAATTTTATTCTTTGTTTTTGCTTCGCTTCTTCTACTGCTCATTTCTTATTAGCTTCCGGTGTTGAGCCTTTCTTGGCTTGCTCAGCTTCTTCCTTCACAATTTCCTTAATGTCTGCTTCCTTTTTGAGACACCACTCCAAGAGCTCCTTTTCGTTCATATCCTGGAGTCGTTTCTCGGCTTTTGCCCCGTCTGGTTTCTCCTTTCCTTTCATTTCTGTCTTCAGTTTTTCCTTTTCTTTAATAGCTGCCTCTTTCTTTAGGCACCATTCTTTCAGCTCCTCTTCGGTCATTTCCTCGAGTTTCTCCTTCTTTTCAAGCTTATCCTTCGGCTCAAGATTCTTTTTTTGAAGTTTCTTGTCCTCACCGAGCTTCTTCTCAAGTTTCTTTTCCTTCTTCTCGAGCTCCTTCTTAGGTTTCTTCTCATTTTTCTCGTGTTTCTTCTCAAGCTTCTGCTTCTCCTCAAGCTTCTGCTTCTCCTCAAGCTTCTGCTTCTCCTCAAGCTTCTTGTCCTCTTTTGCCGTCTCCTTCTTGGCAGGACTCTTGGTCGCCTTGATTTCCTTGGCTTGCGCGGCCAGGATTTCATCGCACTCGGCTTCCAGTTTCTTCATGACTTCCATATGTTTTTCCTGGTCCACCGACTCCTCATCCACTTCAATAGAGGCCTGAAGTCCGCCGTCGAGGCGCCGCTCGTCACGCATTTCTGCGGCCTGGGTCTGTAATTCGTAAAACGAGAAGCGATGGTAGGCAAAGTAGTGACCATTCTTATACTCCTCAGCCTTGCCTGCTCCCGGGCCCAGTTGCTCTTCCGGCCCGCTGAACTGGCGAAAGGCGGCGGGGTTCACAAAGTCGGGCACATCAATGCCATCATGGTCAACACTTGTGGGCTCGTAGCCCTCATCCGGTGGATCTTTTGGCGGGCGTTCAGTGTTTGACAGCTGGATGCCCTCCTTCGGAGGCTGAAGACACAGCCGGCGAAGGATCAGGGGCTGGATCTGGAATAGCAGAGGTCGCAGAACAGATTTTGACATCTCTGGCAGCTGTTGTTTTGAGGGTTAATATATTTTATTTATTTAGAACGTAAATACCCAAGGTTACTTAGGTTAAATACTATCAAAGTTAAAGCTGTAATGTATGTATTTCTTATATTTTGTAAGCAATATTTTTTATTTTAAGTTAACTTTGTGTGTGTGGCACTGACATAGTTTCCTCTTCCGGTTCCTGTGCTTTTTCAGTTGGCTTTGATTTCTGTGAAATGGAAATCTTCAGCGGCAAAAAACCGCGACCATGGGTCAGCGGCCAATTAAGAAGTCGTATCTGTCTGGTTTGGCCCCGGAGCATGGTCAACATTTTTCCGCCAACTGCAGCGGAAATTAGAAGTTGCAAAGGCTTTCGAGTTGGACAAAGGAGGAACAGAAGAACTCGGACGAGGAGGAATCGCTTACCGGCTTAGGTTTAGTTCGTTTAGTTTTGTGAGCTGGTCCACGACTTGGCTTCTCTGTGTTTGCGTCGCTTGGACTTGACATTCGCAGCGGAGGCAAACTATTTTTCAGCTTTTCTGTTTTTCACTTCTTTTAGTTTTTCAGGTTGGCTTTTTTTTCGGGCCGAAGGGCTCCCAGGGAGCATGGCAAACAACAAGCAGCTGCACTCTTGATGAACTTTTAAGTGATTTCCCCGGCAAAAGACTCACGGCCGCCGGATGAGGGCAGGGCTCACCATGACTTTGGGACCGCCGTTGGATGTCAGTTAAAATAGGAATTTATATTTAATTTGTTACATTTTTGACGTAAGCGGAAGATGGGGTGTTTTGCAATGACTTGAAGCTAATCAAGATAAAGGAATTAAAGGATTCATTGAAACTAATGAGGCAAGAGGATTAGTGTACACCTAAGTGACTTTAATTTGTTTCTTACAACCCTTAAAATCCCTCTCAGCAGCAGTTTCAGCTTCTCTAAGCCCTGCCTTCTTCTTTGTATATAAACCTTAAATAATAGCACAAGGTTACTGGTTCTTAATCGAACCTGACCGCTGACCGGTTTTCATTACCTTTTGGCCAAGCTGTTATTGCCTTGGCATCTTAACAGCCTTGGACTCCAAACGCAGCTTTAGCTACCTTTTGTCCTCCTCCCCCCTCTGGAACCACTCAACTGCAACTTTATTTTTAAGTGTACCAGGGACAAAGTTTATGGAATGGAGAAAGCCAACTTTTCGCAGCGTTCTCTCCTCGTTGTGTTTATTATTAAAAAATTTGTTGCCGCTTCCTGCTGCCCTAAAGAAACTTGGCTCCAGGGGTTTTATGGCCAAGTGGCGTGAGCACACGTGAAGCCCGGAAAAACGTTGGGGGTGGTGGGTAGGAATACTTATGGCCGAGACTGCAGCATCCATGGCCAAAGTGTCAGAGTCCATGAAAGGCGATTAGGGTCAACTTGGATTTGCTTAGTTGGGCAGAAGGAGTGAAGCGACACACAATCCCTGGCCACCTGTTGATGGCTCTTAAAACTGCGACAAAGTTAGTCAGGTTTAATTGGGAGTTGCCATAAATTACACTCTACCCGTTTTTTTAACAGATTTTTCTAACTGAGACGCCTCATTCTTTGTTTAAAATAAATATATAATATGTTGCTCACATATTCTCAAGGATAACAAATTATAGTTCATGGCTGACGGGCATGCGTACTTCGCTGCCCTCGTCTCGTTTATTCTTGTATTTTTTTTTTTTTACATTTTCACATTGATGCAGTTGACTAACTAAAAAGTAACACAAAGACAATTAAACTTAGTGCCTAAGTTAGCTGAGAAAAGGAAAGCGTTAGAGCTTGGGTTAGTTCTTGGCAGAGTTTGCTGTATGCGTTAATTGGACAGAAAGCGAGAGTGAGAGTGAGGCTTCCCCTAAATCCCCGATTCTAGGCTAGGTTAACACGAGATTCAATCTTATCCTTATGCGCTAATACATATTCGTGGTCCGTTTATCAGATCGCTGAGGTCCTGCGTTGAGTTTCCTTTGAGTTCAGTAGAAATTGGGCATTTGACTCCTGGATTTTACCAGTTCTTAGAGCGTCGCTCTCCGCTATTGGAGCGCAGCTCGTCACGATCCTCACGATCATCCAGCCTCTCCAGCTGCCAGAGATCGTTGTTCAGGAGGCGGCGTCCATTGGTCCAGCTCAGGGCGGCTCCAGCTCGGGCGGCATTGCCATTCAGGCGGGTGGTTATCAATCCATTTAGGTTGGCAGAGTCCAGGAGCAATGGTGAACTGATCAGCTGGGCCTGGACAGTGGCACTGGAGGGCTGGCTCAGGATCAAAGGCTGGGAGCTGCGATCGATGGTCAGGCGGGCACTGGGCAGCTGGCGCCAGGCATCTAGGTCTCGTTCCCGGGTCAGCAGAGTGGTGGTGGTCCTGGAGCTGGAGCTAGAAGAGGCGGGCAGGCGGGAAGCCAGCAGAGTGGGCGGATGTGACACCACGGTGGCCTGGATGCTCGGCAGGCTTTGGGCCAAGAGCAGGGTCTGTTGGTCGAGCAGGCGCTGGTTCTGATTCTGGTTCTGGCGACGTTCCTGCTGCTGGCGGCGATCCTCACGATCCCGTTCCCTGAGTTCCCGCTCCCGCTGCTCCCTCTCTCGCTGCTCGCGATCCCTAAGCTCACGGTCCCGCAGCTCGCGATCTCGCAGCTCTCGCTCGCGCTGTTCCCGCTCCCTCAGCTCCCGTTCACGCTGCTCTCGCTCCCTCAGCTCCCGCTCACGCTGCTCTCGGTCCCGATCCTCGCGTTCTCGCTGCTCCTGGAGGCGCTGCAGATCTCTCAACTGCTGCTCCTGCTGCTGGCGCTGCTGTTCCTGTTGCTGCACCTGCTGCTGGAACTGCTCCATTAGCTGCTGGGCCTGAGCTCGCGCTTGGTTCTCGGACTCCCGACGACTCTGGGCCTCCAACTGCAGCTGGCTGGTTTGCTGAGCCTCGGCCAGGGACTGCGCCTCTGCTATGGCCTGGGCAGTGAGACGGGTCTGCAGCTCCTCGAGGCTGTTGAAGCGGGACGACGACGAAGAGGAGGTAGTGATTCTCTGTTGCTGCTGCTCGTCCAGACGCTGCTTAGAAACGATGGCATTGAAGCCGCTGGCATCGTCGGCGGTGTACTCCACAATACGCCGGGTGCCATCGGGTTCGATGAGAGAGTATTGGCCCTTGACCAGATCGCCATCACGCTTCTCCTCCTGCCGCTTGTCGTCGCCGGTTAGAGTGTCCCTCACATCATAGGCGAAACTGTACTGCGGACGGGTGTCATAGTCCTCGCTGGAGTTGGGTGCCAAGGTGGTGGAGTCATCGTCATCGTTGCTGTCATCTCGGTTCAGATCCCCCCGCAACTGCTGCTGCTGCTGCTGAAGGCTGGAGGATTTGGTCAGCTGGCTGAGATCGAGGGGTCGCAGGAAGGCCGAGTGGGCCACATGGCAGGTTAGCAGGCTCAGGCAGAGCAACAAGTAGGTCTGCAATTAAAGGGATTCACAGTCGAAATCGGATTAAATGGTCCAGGAGCGTATATATAAATCACCCAATGTTGGCCTCATCAATTTGTCATTCCATTCTTGTTGTCGCTTTTCGCCTTTTTCCCCTTTTCCCATTTCCCCATTTTATTTGTTACTTGCAGAAGGGCCATAAATTAAAAACGACAACAGACGATTCATGTAACTGACAAAAGGCAAAGTTCTGGGCATTTATTTTTGTGTCGGACTTTATAGGATGTCAGGATTTTAAGGAAAGAAAAAAATGCAGGCTACAGTTTGAAAAAAAAAACATCGGAATATACACAATTCTGATAGAAATTAAAACTTTTACCCTAATAAACCTATTTTTATTTTTAGTTTTTTAATATTTTATCCTTTAAATTTTTCACTTTTTATTTACTTTATCTACCAGTTAAAGTACCATCAAAACCATATATTTTATCTCTGATATCCGAACGATATATATAATTGTATTTCCTAATTTTAAATACCTTGCTAAGAACTCCTAAATGTTGTCAAAATTTCCAAAAGTTTTTACTGTACCGGCAGCCTAACTTTGTTGATTCCACTTTGCTTTGTGCCATGGCTCTGGGCCATTTAAATTGGCCTAATACGCTTTGGCCTTTATCGTTTTGTATTTTTGATTATCCTGATTTATGGGACCAACTTCCACTTGGCTGCTGGATTTACATGGCAGCACAACACCACTGAAGCTGGGAAAATTTATAGCCGGCGGCGGTTTTGACGGAAAACTTACCCGTCTCATGGCTGCTGACGTTAAGTATTCGCCTAGTTGGTCGCTGGTAATTTGCTATTGGGATGCTGCTTTTGCTGCTGTTGTTACTGCTGCTGCTACCACTTGCGGCTGATGGCCAACTGATGCCTCCTCCAGCGCCCACAGGCCGCTTTTATAAGACAGGTACAAAAAAAAAAGGGCCATCGCCAGAACCAGACCACACCTGATACGTACGGTTGCTAGCTTTCAAATTTGTTTAGTTAGGGTTACAAATGACCTTCCCCGAGGCAGAGATACACTGCAGCGCATTCACTTTTGCAGCCAAACGGCAGCAAACTAGTCACCCACTGGCCCAAAGTCGGGCCTGGAAAAGGGAGCGGAATTGGGTGACGCTTATGAAATCGGTCAGGCGACATTGCCTACGGAAATTGGAAATGGGAAATGGGCGGCGGCCTGCTGCACCAGTGGGCCTAGTTGTTGGCCAAGCAATGCGCTTTCGTCTCATGAATTTGAAATTTTGTAATCCCTCATCCGCCCAGAGATCCGATTGCAAAATAGTAGCCCTCGCACTCGCACCGGCTCTACCTGACATAGTTGGAAAAAGAGGAAATTTGATAGCTGGCCATAAGTAAGAGAGGCGCCAGGCTGGAACGGTGGCTCTAATGGACTTCCCCTGTAACCGGGCCCACTTTATCGATTATCTCGATTCATTATACGACAGGTTTATCATCAGCATGCGTGATGTAACTACAGCCCTAGCCAGATATGTTTGGCAAGTGCAGGGCCAGAGAGCGGAAACAGTTTTCAGAGGGAAGAATTTCGTAGCTCCCTAAGGTCCTTGGCAATGCACATGATTTATGATTAGATGAGGGACAGTTTGCTACCTTAGAACCAATCACTTTTCGAACAACAATACAGTGAGTTCAAAAGTTTAAAAGACATATGAAGGCGGAGTAGATAGCAACCCAAAATGCGATTCAACCTTAAAGCACTTCCCTTTGTGCTACTCGTACATGTGCAGGATTTATTAATAGGGCCAAGTTAACTCGGCTTAGGAAGCGACAGTGGAACTGCCAAGCGTGCTAACTTTATCAGCTGTAAAAACAAAAGTAACTAACAGACAACACAGCAGCCTTCCTCGCAGAACATCTGGAAAAAATTGTCATGCATGACTGAAATACAGGAGTAGCGGGGCAGGGCACTTAAAGAAATGATCATTCATCTTCTATAAGATTTTATTTATTGGCAATTTGAATGAAGAGAAGCTACTAGTGGTTGTGGGAAAGAGTTGATTCCGATATAAAAATAAAATATAATTCAATTCAATTATAGAATTATAGGTTGTTTCTTATCTTATTTAATCTTACATCTTTTTAAATTTAAAAATAGTTTTTTTTTCTCCAATTGTTTCCCTCAGTGCATTAGCGAGCACCGAAAAAAAAGCCGCCGGACTTGATCCGCTCTGTTATTCATTCCGCGGAGCATAGTTTTAGGCGCCGGCAGTTCGGTTGTCCGCCCCAACACGCTAACATGGTGGACACTTTTCTCGCACACTCACACACACATACATACACACAGAGTCTCCCATTACATCCCCATTCTAGCCACCGGCTTTGTTTGTCTTTGATGCGCGTTTTCCGCTTGTTTTTCTCTTTTAGGCTTGCTGGGCAAAAATTGCATGGGCAGCGGCAACCGGCCGGCCATGTTGTAATTGAGTTGGTCGTGTGGAATGGGAAAATAGTTTCGCCAATTCCGACATGAATCTCAATGCAGTTGTACACGGAAAATCCCTAGTCTGTGTGCCAAATTGCCGGCGGCTAATTAATCATTTTTCACTTTTTCACTCGCAACAGCAAGGAAAAGTGCGCTCGGCAATTTCTCACAATTTGCAACTGCCAAAAGGCAATTAGAGTCGACACATTTGCTGAATTAGCGTTCATTAAATAATCCAAGGCAATTTCCAATGCGATTTCAATTAAATTGCTTGTTTTTTTGGAGCAATTAAAGTTGTATTTGTTCGGAGTAAATATAATATTTGAATTGATTGGGAAAATATTTAAAAAAAATCTATATTTAATATGAATAATATCGAAAAGTGTTTATTTACGATGATGTGCTACCAACTACGCGCTATTATTTCAATGCCTTAAAACTAAATAAGTGGAAACTTACCTCAAAATAATATTTATGAAATTATTAACTTGAAGTGTATTTATTTATTTCAATTAAATTCAGGAAAATATTTATTTGATCTCGTTAGACCAATATCCAGTTGAAATATTCTCAGAATTTTGCCAGGCCTTGTAGCTTGTCACAACATATTTCTCTTGATTAAAAATACAGCATAGTTTGCATTTAAAATGAGCTATTTTGTTGACAGTTTTCCAACAAGGGAAAACAGTAGCAGAATGCAATGAAAAATGTGATTGCTTGCTGCCATCTGCATACAGAGACTCGATGTGGCAATAAAATTGTGATTTTCTGGCTGGAGTGACAGCCACTCAATCTGCGGCCGGACGGTGGCCAAACCTCAAATCTGCTTTATTTACAGCTGGGGTTGACTTTTAGTCCCAATGTCGCCACAGCCAAAGCTCTGATTGAGTGGAAGACCCTCCTGGGGATAGACAGATAGACGGATAGGCAGACAGAGCAGCAGCAGCAGCAGCAGCAGGAGCTAGAGAGGCGGTTGAGTGTTTCAATTTATTTTTCATATTTTTGTTTAACCGCTTTTTGTTTTACTTTCCTATTTCAGACAGGCGAAATTCCCCCGGTTGGCGCTGAAAATGCCAAAAGTTAAAATAAACAGCAGAGCCAGGAACAGGACACACAGCGTGCAGGAAGGCAGGAAACACTTGAAAAAGTATGCCAACAATATTTCTGCCATCTCTGCCGGTGCGCGTTGTCTGTGTGTGTGTGTGTGCTTTTGTGCTATTGAAAAGGAAATGAATGGCAGGCAGAAAAAGTTAAATCACCTCCAGCAATTGGGCCTGTGCGGCGGTGGCTCCTTCCAACTCTGGATGGGATCGGCTGGGACGGGAGGCATTTTGAGTGCCGTTGCTCCCTGGGGTGGCGTATGCGCAATATTCGCAGCATCGCGCATCGGGCATCGAGCCTCTAAGCTGCGTCCTGAGCCCCGGAATTTGTCGCATTTTCTTCCTCTACTCCAAAGTCTGTCTCCCCAGTGTGTGCGAGTGTGTGCTTTTGATTTTATTCTTATTTTGTATTTTTTATTTTTCGCTTTCGTTCTCGATTCTGCTTTGTTTTTCGATTTTCTATTTGCCGTGGGAAATTGCTTTCAATAATGACGCAAAAGTGTTGCTGGGGGGACATTTTAATGGCTGCTTGGTTGCTGGTTTTCGCGTGTTCGACAGATAGGAAAGCGCCATCTGCTGGCGACAAATTGAACTGACACAACCCCTTATCGCAATTCTCACGCTGCACTGAGAGAAATTTAGAACGAGTTCGGAATTGGAGCAACTATTTCATTGGCAAATAATACAAATTTTATTTACATTTCAAGAAAAGTAATTATAATAAATATTTAATATGAATATTAAATATATTAAAATCCGTTGAAAATAAATAAAATCTGTTATAATTCCTCAGTGTACCGCCCTTTCCCCCACACACTTCAGGCAATTTGTACGCACTCATCGTTGCGTTGGCATCAATAAATTGCCAGGGGGCCACGGTGTGAATCCACGCGTGTCCTTGGCCACACCTACTTGCTGGCGCCCCGAGTCCGAGTCCGACGCCTCCTGCCTGGTTACTTATGCAGTCCACCATGTCCTTTTGCCACTTTGCCGGCCTGCAACGCCATCGGCTCATCGTCATTTGCATTTCGCTCGAAAGGATCCCTCCATGCCAGGGCAGTGAAATACTTTTTAATATATTTTCCGTTGCCACGACAGCATATCCTTGTTGCACAAGCATTTCCCATTTCGAGGAGCTATCATGTTCATGCTGGAATCAGGGAATTAATTCACGGTTGCCTTTTAATTTCACCTATTAATTGGGGAAAAGGAATGCTCGATAACTTTGCACGATGGTCGAGTCTGTAAATATACTTTGAAGGATTCTAGGGGTGTCTAAGCTTTGAAAAATAAATAGTTAATAAATAAACAGATATTTAAAAATATAAAACTTTAACTAATATATATTTGTTCGCCAATATAGCCTTTAAATAAGGGTATTCCCAGAGTACTTTCATTGAATTCCAACCAGTTTAAGCAAAAGTAATGCGACGGAAACATTTCAGAATTCAATTATTGCCGCGCTTGGCAAGAGTTTTAATTAAAAATCATTAATAAACTGGCAGTGCGTCCTCGGGCTGCTCAAAAATTTCATATCAATTCATCGAAGCTTTCAAGTTTGATTAAATTTCTATAGATAAAAAAGGCTTAAGCATCGGAAAACATGTTGGGATCACGTACACACTTTTAGGGTGCCCCAAGACAGTCCTTCAAAGTTTCAACAATTCTGTCATAAGTCAATAAAATGTGGGAAAAAAGTAAGTTTTAATAAAATTACTGAATTTAATTGCTTTGCCTAAAATGCTTAAAATTCCTGTAAAAAACTACCAATCGTATTCATTGATGGGCCTTCGATTTTTTTATTCTTAAATAATACAAAGCAGTCTGATTTTATACAGATTTATGCAGGCATTACAACAACAAAATACGCAAACAGAAATCAGTTTCGGATACGGATTGTACGTTTATGTAAACAATTCATTCACTTTAATGTGCCATTGTTCGGACGGAAAACCAGAAGCTGGGCCAAACGCTTCTGTTTATTTGCGTATCGCGCGACGGGGCCTATTAATGAAATTTCATTTGCAATGCGTTGATTGCCCCACTTTTGGCCAATTTCAGGTGAGAAAATCAATAAAGTAACGGCGACCATCCTTCCACCATTTAATTAACAAGCGACTGGCAGAGCCTTCATCTGCCCTTCATTTGCACCACAACGGCGAACAGGGAGTAGGCCATCTTCAGGGTGGCAAAAAAGGCATTTAAATTTAACTCGATGAGGCCCCCGGCCCGCATCATCAGGTTGGTGGCCCCCAACGTAAGTTGGGTAAAGATGAGCAGGTCGCCACGATAGCCTCGGGTTTGATCGTACCAGCGGCTTGAGAAGATCGCGTACGGCAAACGGTGTACCTCCTCGGCCACGACGCTGGCAAAGTAGCAGCTAGGGAAGAGCTGCACACAGACCACGCCGAAGAAGACCAGGTAGTAGACCAGCGACATGAAGTCTCTGACAAAGAACAGCACGTAGGAAACGATGATGCACAGAGTGGCACCACAACCGCCCAGCTGGACCAGCTGCACGGCACTAATGGTCCGGCTGGTCAAGTGATGAAGTCTGCCAAGGTATTATATATTTTATAACAGTATTTCAATAAAATCTGACCAGAACTCACCTCATCAGCAGCTTGTGCTGTTCGATATACTCCAGCAACCTTTGATGTTGCTCCATGGGAGTCTCCTTCTTCTCCTCTTCAAAGCCAAGCCTGGCCATTCGAATGGCCCAAAGGTGAAGATGTCCGCTCAAGAAGCATAGGGTCAAGGGCGAGTAGGTATCATTGGATAAGCCCTGGAAGCCTTCGACTATGATGCTGAACATTTGGTAGCCATAGGCCATACCAAAGAGATATTGGTTTCTATTCCAATCAAACGGAAAATATGCGGGATAAATAAGGTCCCGATTTCCGTTGAAGAGCTTAGCAAAAGCACCGACTAAGAACACCACGTAGACAATTCCGAAACTAATGTACAGGCATCGGGTGAAGCGCCTGGCTCGGCATAGCAAATGATCCTGGTAGTAGCGAAGCTCCCGCTCGCCCTCGATGCAAGCATCCAGTTGCCCAATCAGGGACTCAATTTCCACAATTTCGGGCAGGCGGTACAATTGAGCCACCTGCTTCAGGCTGCAGGCCACACAAGTCAACGACATGGTCAGGTTCTTGAAGAGATCTGCCGGAGAGGGATGCAGCAGAAGATGCAGTAGCAGGTGTAGAGGAAACCAGGCGGTGACCAGGACGTGCAGAACCACCTCATAAGCACGGACGCAGGGTCCGGTGGACTTCTTGAAAAAGCTGGGAGCTAGCAGTTGCATGCAGAGCCAGAATGGGCGATAAAAGCGAACACTGTTTATGAAGACCATGGTGCACCGAATGGGCACTATTTTTGAAGAAAGTGCGTTTTAAAGGAATGCATTCTAAGAAAACACTGAGGGAAATCATTCATTATATTCAAATCAATATATAATCTGCAAAATTATTAAGACACATGCATTGTCTCAATTATTACGCATTTATTAAAAGAATAGTGTGTGTTGTTATGTAATTAAATAAATTTCCTTTTTCACATTTCATAGATATGGATTTCAATTTTTTCCGTGTGCAAAATCGGTGGTTAAACGGCATTTAAACGGCGCCAATACAATTTTCATAAAGCCTCCGTTAATGGCTGCCATTAGTGGTAATTTAAATTAAGCGACCATGCAAATGCAGGCGCCAATTGCCCGTCGGCCGAGCAGCTGCCTCATTATCCATTATCCACTGTGCACTGTCCATTGTCCATTATCGCAGCGACATGGCCAGCGTGAAGAAGGAGTAGGCCAGTCGAACCGTGGCAAAGAAGGCATTCATGCCGATACCAATCATGCCACCGGCCTTGATCTGGACCTCGGCCAGCGTCAGTTGCATGAAAATGAGCAAGTTGCGGCAGTAGCCTCGCTTCATTCCCAGCCAGTTGCTCGAGTAGATCGCATGTGTGAGCCGGCCCATCTCGATGGAGATCAGAGTGCCATAGTAACAGCAAGGAAAGAGCTCCAGCACCATGGAGAGAAAGTACACGGCGTAGTAGGTCACCGCAAAGTGATTGTCCGCGAAGAACAGAATGTTGACGAGCGTTATGGAAATATTAATGCCACTAGCCGCAAACTGACCCAGCTGGGACAGGTTCATGGTGAGGCGTAGCAGCTCAACGATTCTGAAAAAAATCTTTTTATATAATTAAGCTCAACTTAGAAATAATAACTTACTTCATGAGCTTTCGGTGATCCTCAATGCTCTCTGTAAACTTCCTGGCAATAACTAACTTATCCGCTTCCCGATCGTGTCCGATTTGACTCAATCGCATGGCCAGCAGTCTCACATGTCCGGCCAACACGCAGAAAGTCATCGGTGGATACGAGTCGTTGGCCAGGTTTTGAAGAATGGCCAAACTCACGCCGGCTATCTGGTAGCTAACACTAAGCCAGAAGCGAAGAGCCGAAGCCTGAACATCGTACGGGAACCAGCCGGGATACAGGAGGTTTCGTCCTCCGCCAAAGAGAACCGAGGCAATAGCAGAGAAATTTGAAAGGTTGTAGGCCACCAGGAAACTTTTCCAGATGAAATTCGCTTCACGTTGCGTATTGTGGCTGAAGAATTGCCGTTCCTCGGCAGTGACAGCTCGCTGGTCCAGCTCCTTGAAGAGAACCTCAACGGCCTTAATCTCGGCCATCCTCAGGCGAAAGCAAATAAACTTGAAGCTGGCAAAAAAGCAGGCGGCTGTGATTGGCAAACCTTTGCAGACATCGCCCAGGGTTCGCTCCATGCAGAGACCAAGGATTAAATGGATTGGATACCAGAAGGTTACAAAAAATGTGATCAGGAAATCCACTACATGTCGCAGGGGAAAATCGCTTTCCAAGCCCAACAAGCGCCAGTAGAGCCAGTAGACCTTGTAGATGCTTCCACTGCTAATTGCGGACGAGTCCAACTCCATGTTCGAGACAATTGAGCCATGAGGCCTATGGTTCTTCCGTTTTTATACTCTGACTAGGAGAAAATAACAGACGTCTGGCGTAACGCCCACCAATTTGCTAGCATATTCTTACGTTACATGTATCCCTGTAATTTTTGTTAACCAATTCACACCTCTTTTTGGGTAGGAGCACGCGGCTGATGGATTGTCAGCCTGCGAGAATCATTTCATCGTGGGTTTTTGTTTAATGGTTTAATTTACCATTTCAATTCGATGTGGGAATGCTGTGTAATTATTCATTTTGAAGGCGGCAACATTATAAATATTTTAGGTTTGAGAGGCAACATTTTATTGATTAAGCGTTCATAGTTAATAAATAAAACCAAAAATGGGTTCAATTCCCTTGTTAATGGTTGTGTTACATATGTGTAAATAAGAGTGGGATATCCTTGAATAAATTAATAAATATATATTGATGTAGCAGGGTGGTACTCTGATGTAAAAATAAAACAACTTTCCTATCGAAGCGACATGGCCAGGGTGAAGAAGGAGTAGGACATGCGTACCGTGGCGAAGAACGCGTCCAGGCCGATGCCAATCATTCCTCCGGCCTTAATGTTTACCTTTACCACCGCCAACTGCATCAGTATAATCAGGATTCGGCAGTGACTCCTATTCGATCTAGGCCAATTGCTCGAGAAGATGGCATATGTGATGTTATCAAACTCCATGGACAGCAAGGTGCCAAAATAACAGCTCGGAAAGAGTTCTATAAGCATGGCCGCGAAGAACACGAAATAGTAGATGATGGCAAAGGTATTCTCCGCAAAAAAGAGGATATTAATCAGCGTAATGGATATATTTATGCCACTGGAGATGAACTGGCCAAGCTGGGACAAATATAGAGTGCTCTTGAGCAGACGAATTATCCTGTAATAATAATTAAAATATTATTTTTAAATAATACAAAATTACACATATCCTTACTCCATTATTTTGCTGTGATCTTTGATGTTTTCAATAAGTTCCTTTGTATTCATAGCCATGGTCACCTTCTCATCGTATCCTATACGACTCAAGCGCTTCGACAGGAGTCTTACGTGTCCTGAGAGTATACAAAACGTCATCGGGGGATATGAATCGTTGGCCAGGTTCTCAAGAATCGCCACACTGGCTGCAATAGCTTGATAGCAAAAGCTTATCCAAAAGATGAGTGAACTGCCCTGGACATCATAGGGAAACCATCCCACATACATTAGTTTTCTCTCAGAGCTAAACAGCCCAGAGGCTGTTCCTGTGATTATGGCCGAAACAGCAGCCACTAAATAACTTATCGAGAGAATGTGCTTTGTATTTCTGTCAAAGAATTGGCGATCCTCATCGCTCTCAGCTCGTTGATCAAGCTCCTTGAGCAACCGTTCGATGGCTTTAATCTCGGCCAGCTTCCACCGAAAGCACACAAATTTTAAACTACAGAAAAAGCATTCGGTGGTAAAATGCAGGCTCCTGAACAATTCCGCCGTTGACTTATTAAATAGACCGATTATTAAATGGACGGGGTTCCAGAAGGTGATAAAAAAGCTGATTACGATATCCAGCAGCCAGCGCAATAGATACTCGCCCTCGACGCCCAGGAGTCGCCAGTAGAGCCAGTAGGTCTTGTAGAGCTTATCACTCCTGACAACCGGTGGGGCGGACTCCATGTTTAAGACAGTTTCAAATACTACAGTGGCTTTTCGGTTTTATAGAAGGTTTTCCATTGAATTATAGTAATAATTAATTGGTAATTAAATTTAATTAGCTTAGACAATTAACACCTGCCTGGTGGTGACCATACATTAGACATGAATAAACCTTTCATGGGAGTGTCCAAGTCATTGGTTAGATTTTCCAGAGTTAAGAAATGGTTTGTTATTCCAGTACAGATAGTCACTGCTGACGACCGGCCAGGACAAAACCATTTTAAAGAAAGTCAGAGAGGTGACAAAATGTTTCCTGTTTTTATAGTCACTTCTGGGAGCAATTAAAATGTGCCTTAATTACGCTGCTCAACTCAAGGGATAGGCGTAATTGTTGAACCTGTAATTACCCATAATTGGTGTTAAACGCTTGACACCTGTCTTTTTGTTGGATTATGCCAAAAATACTTTTATATTTCTTTTTTCCTTGGCCAGGAAAATGAATTTATAAAATAAATTATATTTTTGTGATTTATGTGATGCTTTTTAAGCCTGTAACCTGTATTATATCGATTTGGAGTATTATTTGTCCTTGTTTTCACCAAGTACGAAGGTCACTAAGATGGCAATAAAAAGTGCTGTTAAAAAGTTGAACTAAAGTTGCCTTATAATCTGTGTTTTGTTTGCCGAAACTGTTGCAAGTTGCAAGGACAAAGTTGCCATAATTTGACATTAAAATCTCTTTCTTGCAGCTGCTTGCAAATGAGAAATGCAGACTTTTTCGTCCAGGAAAACTTCCATCCTTTAACTAATTTAATGGCTAGTGCTCTCCATCGAAATTGTTTTATGAGTGCCGTCAATGACTTCCGATTGCAAATTCTCTATGAGAAGAACTAGGGCTCAGCCGACATTGTATGCTAAAAAGGTCTTCTTTTACCGCTAACAAAAAAAAAACAGCTAAAAAGATGTCAGATGAGTTTCACGCTTACTTGGCTTTGTCCTGCAATCTTCTTACCATCCCCCATCCGACTAGCTTTTTCGGTTTTATTTCCGCCGAGGATATCAGACCGGCCAGGAGACAAAATAGTTCACTTTTTTTTGTTTGTCTAAGCCACCGTTGCGTATACGTAATGCCAAAATGAGACACCATGACAATGTCGCGAAAAAGTGTTGCCAAAAAGGCAAGTCACAACAATCTTGTTCAATTTTTGGATGCCCTTTGAAAGGGTTTAATAGAAAAATTCCTCGCTCTTGAGAAATTTAAATAAACGTATTCATATTCATATCCTAAAATTAAGTATTTTGAATATGTTACATTCTTGTTAAAACAAACAATATGCCCACTGTAACTGTGGTGTATAATTAAGAGGCAGCTGCCACTTTTTTGGGTAAACTTTTTTGTACTTTTCGTTTGTGGTTTGGGTTTGTCTCACTCCCTCGAGCGAGAAAAGTTGCCAAAGTTATTTGATTTGGAATTTTTGGAAAAGTTTTCTCTTTTCTATATGATTTTTTGGCCTCAAATGTGTGTGTTTATGTGCACTAAATTAATGAAAATCACAACTGTGTGCAAAATGTAATTTAATCTTATTTTTTCCCCACACATTTGGGCCCGGGGGCAACTGGCGCGTGGCCGCCGATAAAGTTCCCGGAATGTGAGTTGGTGGTGGAAGTATTCCTGTTTTATCGGTCAAAACTGACAGTTTTCAAATTTATCAAAAAGGCAGAAGGCTAAATGGAAGGGCGTGGACCCATCTGTGTGTGTTTGTGGATGCTCAATTTGTTGTGATGGGCAAGGTCACACACAGTCCCGAACTTGTCATACTGTTTGCACTGTAATTTATTAGATTTTCCAGCTTAGATTAACTCTCAGCTCTCTCGCTCTCTGTTTAGCATCAAACGCCTTGTTTTTATTACCCTTTGGGAACTAATTTTGCATCTAAAGTAAACACACCAAGCAACTTGGGTAAACAATTAAATGTTCATTTCAAAATTGGCGAGCAAAAAAAAAAACCAATCTAGAAGTTTAAAGCTCATAAAACACATTGCTTTTATCGCTGGATAAGCACGCAGCGATGTGGTTCCCCCCGCCAGCTGCATATCCGCAGAAATGCGAGGCTATTAAATCCAAACTCGCCACCCTTGAAAATGTAGAAAATATCAAAGCAATAAAGTGCAGAAAAATGCCAGAATTTCGCCAACAGAAAATGAATGGGAAATGATTTTTAGAAAACCAAAGTCAGCAGTGTGTCAGCACAGAAAAATTTGTCATACATTTTTCGTTTCCCATAAAATGGGTTAAAGAATTTCAGAATGGAGGTGAGGTTTTATATCCCTTACAAGGATAACTTAAAGGATATAACGGAATCATGGAGAGTGGTTTTACAGTAGTAGGTTTAAGAGGTGAGGGAAAAAGCATTTGTTTTTATCAACACTTAATTAATACTATATTAAAACTTTTCAAAGTGCCTATATATTAATAATATGTAAAAATAAAATTTCACATTTTAAATCTTTAAAATTAAGCAGACTTGAATAATTCCATATTTGTATGTATAAGAATTGTAAAATAGGAATAACAACTAGCCTTTTTCTTATATATATATTATATAACGTTTTCTGCTTGACTTCAAATTGTTAATTAATCATTTAATAGCCAAATTAAAGGATAAAACTATATTTAAATTGATATCTGAATACTTTCCCACAGTCTGTGCTTGTTTATGCTGAAACCGAAGGCACTGTGTCAAGTATTTATTGCTTTATCGCTGTTCGCTATATTTTGTTTAACTAATTTCAAACGATTTTTCACAGCGGAAATATTCACTGCGCAAAACACAAAAAAATTGTGTGTGTTTCTTTCGCTTTATGGTTTTATATTTGTGGTTTTTTTTCTTATTTTTTTTCTGTTTTTTTTAAGCAGCAAGGGGTCACGGGGTGAAGTGCTCCGAAATCGAAATCGAGTGTCGGTTGCGGGCAACATGGAGCTCGCATGAATCGGCAGCCGCGTTCGCCGATTGTTTACTCGGTCTAGTCGGGGTCTGCGGATGGACTTGGTTCTGCGTTCTGTGTGCTCTTTGACAGGGTCGCGACCCAAGGGGATGCTCCAGAGTTGTTTGGGAAGTCAACATACAAATTGTGCGTGATTTGCCGACTATCAGGGTGGAAATTTCTATTAAACAGCAGAAGATTAGATAGATATTTTAAAGCTACATCTATTTTTATATACAGAATATTATAATCTATAATATTTTTATTATTTAAAACCCCCTTTTTGACTACGCCCTTTGATATAATGTGCTTAGTCGTGGTCTAGCCATATATGTGTGTGTGTGTGTTTGTACTTGCGGTTACGGCTAATCGTCTAATTTTATCATGTGGTTTTCCCCATTTAAGTGCTGCCAAGTGTTGAGCGATTTGTGTAGTTCTCCTTAACCGGACAGCCCGGCGGCTTTTACTTTCCCTCGCCACCCCTTTAATGGTTCTCAGTGGTATTTTTCGTGCAGCTAGCTCTGCGGCATTCTTCTTTGCTTATCATTAGGCTAAGTGCTTGCACATTTGACCTTGCCACACCTGCTCATTAGCAGGGAACGAACGGGAGAGAGCTGCAGGTGACGACGTCTAGTTGCACATGAAAATGCCTTTTGTTGTTCGTTTAAAGAGATGCAAATTAAGGGAGGGAAGGAGGAGCACACCATAGTCACGCGCTTGCCATATTTGTAATGTTCTCAAATTGCGCATACGCCGGGTAGGCCGCCTATACGCACACACGACGCGCCGGCAATCAATCAAATGTTGCCGTTGCCGAAATTACGCAGCCTGCTCCTAATCTGACCAAAATTCGGTCTGGTCTCTAGTCTCATCCATGGCCGGGAGCCCCGGTTTCCGCTTACAGTTTTGCATAGAACGCGTTTCGCTTGCCAAACAAAAGTTTTGCGTAGTCAGCTTAGATTTGGCAGTGGAACAACATTGTTTGAGTCCAAGGATGGCTTTCCAAAGTTTGTCGACCCTTGAAGAGGGAAATTCTACATTTTCGTTATAAAAATGATTTTGAGAGGTTTAAACTTGAATTGAAAATGTTATATAATTATAATATTAGTTTCCTAAAAATATAAAGAATCAAACCAAAAACTATTGCATTCAAGGTTTTTATGGATTTATTTTAAACTGTTCTCAATTTTTGGCTGAAACGTGCTCTTTTATTGATTGCTTTCAGGTGGGATTATGGCTTCTTCAACACGTCCTGATCAGCTGTTGCCCGGGTAAGTGCATTTCAATTTCGACCTGTCAAATTATGAGCTCCCAGAGCCACCCAAGTCTGACTCAGTCCCTCTTTCCGGCTGCCTAAGCCGCTTTTGGAGGCTACAGCTCCATTTCCCTTTTTGGCCAGCAGCTTAGTTATTACACGCCCACAACAACTGCTGACATTTCAATTGTTTGGGCGAGCTTAGCCGGCGCTGTCAGTGCCAAATATTGTTTGGGTCAAGTATTGCGTTTGGGACATTAGTTTTCAGCAGTGAATACAGTTGCCCGACTCGAACTATGTATAACCTTAATGCCAACTCCTTTGCCACTGATATCCTCTCCGACCTTCGACATCCAGCATCCAACAGCCGACATCCGTGTCGACGTAGTCGTCATCGCATCCGAGGCTCAGCCTATAAAATATGAACCAATTGACGTGAAATTGATTGTTCTGCTCCAAGCTGTGCCCGACTCTGGCCGCCTCCTCCTCCGTTCGGGATTTCGTTATATACCCATTCTCTTTCGCATCTTGCGGCTTTCCGTTTTCGCTTTATTAACTACTACAACCATAAACTGCAGGCGAAGCTAACTCCCTCGCCAATCCTCCAGTTCCATCCATTGGCTCAACAGTCTATGCACCGAGAATCATTCTAGTACTTCATTCATGTTAATAACTTAAATTAAATTGGGTAAAAAAGTTCTTGTCCGTCTGAGGTCTCAGAAATTTAAGAAATGATTTTCTCCCAGACATATTTTACTTTAATTTCTAAAAATAGTTTTAA